GCGAGCGCAAAGCTTCCGGCACTGGGTCTGCCCTACCCTGTGGCACGCGTGTTCAGAAATGAGAGGCTGAGTGGGTCTCATCCGCTCCCTGTTGCCTCAAAAGCCAGAAACGCTCTGTTCCCGAGGGGGCTCTTGGCGCGGCTGATGGGAGGGAGGGTAGTCCTGTCGCCACGTGCCTCGCTGCAGCCATACCCGGTCCGCTCGATCATGAAACTCGTTTTCTGCCGGAGAACAGTAATGAAATTCTACACCCCGTGGCAGAAGATGCTGTAACCTAAGGAGAACAATCATTTTCTTACATTTACAATTTTAAATGAATGGAAGAAATCTAGTTAATTACAGGAGTAGAAACTGACTGAAGAATTCCTTTATAAGCATTTTGCGTCCTGGCATGGCGACTTGATTGGCTCACATGCACGATGAGTCGTAGAGAAGGTGTTGGGATGATCAGCCCCTCACTGGGCTCGTGTAGAACCACTGGTTTCATTTACGGAGTCAAACATTTAAGAGGAAAAGGAATTCAGCTCCCTCCCTAAGGAAATGTGAGGTGCAGGCTGGGGCGGAGAGTGCTCGCTTTCTGATCGTGACATCATATGTCACTTGAGCAGAAGTGCCTCAGCTCAGAAAGGCGGATGGATGCCTAGCTGTGCTCAGACTGAGACCTGAGGTGCTGCCTCGAGGCAGGTGACGGCTGCCGCCATGCTGGCCATGAAAGGACCCCGTGTGTCCCCCCAATGTGCTCTGCGTTCACTGGGCGTTTGGCTCCCCTCTGCCTGCCAGAGCCTCCCTGAGGTTTAGGTCTGTTCTTAATCTCTAAAAGTCGGAGAGTTTTTCAAAGACGGTGGCTCTTTTTGTAATATTGTGCGACTTTGTAATATTGTGTGACTTGGTGATGTTTTTATCCAGGAAAACTAGACTGTGGAGAATGTCAGAACTAGGACACTTCACCGTTGAGCTCAACCTGGAGAGAGCGCTTCTTAGAACCAACGTCCTGTAGCCTTAGAGTGAAAAATGTGAAGGTGGTATTAAGCTTTTAAAAAAAGAAAAAGGAAAAAAAAANAAAGAGAAATATTCTTTTTTCAGGGGCTGTTAAGGAAGTCATCTCCCACTTTGAAAAAAAATCATAGGCTTAAACCTCACATGTAGATGTGTGTGCTTTTTTTTCTATCGTCTTATCAAAAAATGTTTATTCTGTTCAAAGGTTGTGCGGGTATAAAAAAGGAACCCAAGGCAGTTCATGATGCAACTTTAGGTAAATATATTTTGAGCATCTCTTGTGCCTTTAATATATAGTCTTACAATTGGACTGGTCTGTTGGGTTTTCACACTGTTAATTGTGTCTGTTTTTTAAACCCGTAATACCTTTCTGTTTTGTGTGCTGCTGTTTACCCAGACCCGAAAGCAGTGCTGGGTGTTTTGTCCGATGTGTGCTCTCTCACCTGCACACACGCCCGGGGAGTGTAGTCAGGTTCATGCTGCTGAGTGACCCGTGGGGCCCTCTTTTTGGCTCCAGGGCTTTGTGTGCGAGACCACTGTGGATGGATTACCTGTGGAAGCTTCCCCGTGGGCTGAGTGGCTCAGGGAGCCAGGGCGTCCCGCCCCGTAACCTCACGGCCACTGACTGGGGCGATTGTTAGGGCCCAGGTGTGGCGGAAAGGAATGGCGTTCCTGAGACCTGCGGGGCCTCCCTTTCAAGTGACCAGGCCTTCCGCCTGAGGCACCTGATACCGTTGGATACCACCGTGCTGTCGCTGGCTCCTCTGACTGTGATGTGCCACCCACCATCAATAAAGGCTTGGGAACCACAAGGGACCCCTTTCATAATCAGACCTCCTGTCCTGTGGCTTAGGAGAGACCAGTGAAATTACACAGAGCCAGAAGTTTTTCGAGTGTTATTTTAAATGTTCACAAAATATTTCTGTGACCTTGCAAATTAGCATTTGACTTCATCTAAAAAAAAAACAAAAACCACTGTTGACTTCAAACATAAGATTATATGTGATGCCTGAGGGAAACTGAGATCTTTTGAAAAGGAAGATATAATTTATCTTCCTCATATGGTAATTTATTCTCCCAAGTGCCCCAAACTGTGAGGATATTTAATACAGAGTTTTTTTTAAAGCTGGTATTTAAATAATATTTAAAACCTCTGGTAGGTCTTATATACACTCGTACATTGTAGATATACTGATTTTTTTATTACTGACAGTCAACCAAAAAAAGCTTTTCTCTCTGTTATTTTCCTTGTCTGGCAGTTTGTGTCTTGGAAGATCCTTTACTAGAAAGACCTTTTTACTGAGCAGCCATCTTGGTACTTGGT